ACCACTGGTGAGAGAAGTAGATGCACCGCTTGTGTGAAAACCAGTGACCCAAGAAATACAGTCACTTCTTTTTTTCCTCAGTGCATCTCAAGGCACTTGTCACTACCTAGCTTCTCCTGCGCTGCTCTTGAGGTTCTATACCCATCTAGCAGAGTTAAAAAAAAAAGTGTTTTCTGTTATTGCTAAGGAGGCTCTAGAAGATAAGGAAAAAAGCTGTAAATCACAACAGGGGGGCAGGGGAGGGCAAAAATTCATGGTTTATCCAGGACAGAGTGCTGTGTAGCTCATAACAGTCTCTCAGCAAGACTGTAGTGTCTCCACCCCTGTACACTCAAAACTGAGCTTCTTAAGATCCTGAAAAACTGAATCCAACTTAGAAGCCGACTTGAGCAATGAGTCAGGACTAGATGATCTCAAAAGGTACTTTCCAACTGAAATCATTCCACGAATCAATTTCTGCTTCAGAATGGAAATGGAAGAAAATGAAAAACATAACTACTTACTTCGTATTTCATTGTAAAGAAGCCATCGCCCCCAATTCCTTCCAGTGCAAAAGCCTGCACTATTGGCCACTTCTCAACAATGAACATATCAAATATCTGTAAATGACCTGCAAAAGAAACGTTTCACTGAAACATTCTCTCACAAATACCGGCAGTTTAACTTTCTGTGAGACCTTAGAGTTGTTCTGAGATTCTACTCAAGGACCTCAATTATCCTGCCCTGGTACAACTGAAAATCTGCGAGTGGAAATTGGAGGTTTTTGGTCAAGTTGGTAGCTTTTAGGAACTCCTGTCTCTACACCCCAAGTTTTGTCCATTTTTTCCAGCTATCAGCCTAGTAAAGGACATTACGACTCCTTGCAAATTTCATTCCAAGACCATTAACAAAACTGTGCCCATTAAAAGTCAAGATATTAAACAGGGAGCTTTGCTTACTCCAATTTCTTCAAATATTTGGCGTTAAGTAAAATACTGTCAATATCATCCCCACGTTAATCAGAATTTTAAGTCAGGGAAGAGGAAAACTATTCAGCCTCATCAGCGAAGCTGTACACCATCTGAAGCGAAGTGTGCCTACCATCCTTAGGCT